CATTGAATCAACACCATCCGAGTGCCTTGGACAGCTCAGGTGAGATCGGGTGAGAATTCAACAGCCATCATTCAGAAATTGCTGGGCTACTTTACAACACCTTTAAGGGAAAGGAGCATGGGAAACTATAGACACTTTGGAAGTGAAATTAATCATTACCGAGGCTTGGCTATGATCCAAGACCTAAGTCTTCTTTTTCCCTCCCCAGGAACTACTGACCTCCTGGACGAGTGAGTGAAAGTCATCATTTGACCTACGTACTATGGAAAGTGTCCACAAGGCACAGCCCTGCCTGCAACATGGCACAACTCCATCATCAGTGAACCCTGCCACCCACCTCTGCAGCTGCAGCTTCCTTGGACCCCACTCTGTGATCATCTGTTTGAACTGCACATTGAGACCACAGAGCCACTGCTGCCCAGGAATGACTGCTGGGGATGGCCACATGAGCACACCTTCTCAGGCATCTGCCTCTGATTCTTAGGTAGCTACGGGTTAAGACAGACTGCAAGCAAACATTTAGGAATCTCTCCCCTCTCCCCCTGCCCGTTCTCTTTTTTGGGGATACAGTTGTTATTGCTGAAGTATTATATTCTCCAAAGAAATAAATCTGTATCCTAAGCCACTTTAAATATAAGTTTTGGGGCTGCTGTTACCTGAAGCCTAGGACTGAGGGAGAAAGGGCGTGACCAACACACACCATCTTCCTCAGACCTGATCAGTACCAAATTTAATCACTTTAAGGAATGTATTGACAAGTCTCTAAAACAGGATATCTCTGGAGTATAACTTACAGCAGAAAGTGCAGTGCCTATTTGCCACTTTTTTTAATGCTGACTGCAGATTCTCAGATGTTTCCCAACTGACTGGGAACCACACAGACTGTAAATCTTTTGGCACCAACTACATTACTTATTAATTTGTCTTTCTGTGTTTCTGACATGATTTCCCCTGGTAATAGGAACTGTAAAGTTCTTTATGAGTCAGCTTGGACTATCATTAGTGAATAAAATGCAAAATATTGTCCCCCTGCATAATGGGGTGTCAATGGGCCACTGTGAAGATGCATAGTCAGCAGAACCACTGCCTGCAGTGGCATCCAGCAGTCATGAACTCTGGTTCATGGTCAATGAACTCTAAAAACAACTCCAGAACTGCTTAATATCTGCAGAAACTAACCTCAGGTGATACAAACAACCAGATTCCTTCCCAACTTGAAAAACAGAATGACAAAACTGCCAATGAATTATTTTGCTTTAGTTGTCAAGTCCAAGATCAGAGGAATTAAATCTCAGCTTCCAGTGCTGAGAGGCAGACTCTAACAAGCTCCGAAGAGGCGAAATATTTAAGGAAGTAAATGTGGGCTTCATCCATCTCTCAAGGAAATGATGCTAAGTGTTGGGAAAGAACACCTATTAACCTATTAAAGGAGAGAGAGGAGGCCTGAAGTGTAAGAAGCCCCAGTCAGTTCTACCAGAAGACCAGCAGACCAGAAGACCAGGCTGATTTTTTAAATTTAATAGATTCTTCATCTATTTGCATCTTATTTTAGGAGGACCATTGTCATTAAAAGCTCTGAGAGATCAAGTTGGAAGAAATCAGGAAAAAATTAGAATTTCAATCACAAACCAAGTTAGCTTTGTCTTGGTTTCACTAGTAAATTAATTACAACCAACAATAAAATTTATGGAAAGTTTACCAACTGTTTGAATAGTCACCAGAGCACAGGGATACAGATCCTGTGAGGAGGAAAAGTGGATTCTTTGCTGAATACAGGTAGTAGATAATATCCCTGGAGGTTGTATCAAATAAGCACATCTGTCACTAAAACAGAGATAGAAATCAGCAGATTTACTGGCCAGATTTGATATGAGCAAGGAGCAAGAGCAGAAATAGGGGAAAATAAGCACAGCAGCTCAGAAATGCGTAAAGCTAAACTCAACCTTGCTGAGACTTCCAGTACAGAAAATGAAATACACTGATATAATAAAGGGAGGTAGGTAACAGGGACTGCAAATGAAGTTTCTACTTCTTTCAATTCAGAGTGTAAGTATTAATTTCTGGGACCAGGTTGTACATTAGAAATAGATGAGAAATTCAGGGGACAGCCTAGCCACTTGTCGAAATGTTTGTAATAGTTGGTAAACCAGAAAATTTTTAAAAAGAATGACCAAGAAACTTGAGCTCCAACTCAGTCCTTCTTGTTAACCTGTAACTCTATATAGTCCTCTAAAACAGCAAACGACCAAACGTGCTTTAAATACCCAGATTTTAACATGCCTTTTTATGTCATCATACTTATAACTCATAGCAGAGACTTGCAATCAAATTTGTTAGTGTAAAATCTCGTGATTTATAATCAACATAAATCGCTAAGAACCAAAGATACAGTGGAGGCAAGTCCATTTTGAGACACGAAGTTGGCCAAGCTGAACACTGTAATTAGCAGAACTGAAGTAATAGTCCATTTTAACACATAGCTGTGCTCAGATGACATTTCCAAGTGTCCTCCCACTTGCATGCAATTATTTATCAAAGTGTGCTAGGACCAGCTTTGCGAGACTGCAAGGAAGCAGCTTCTCACTGCAGACACACCACCATGAGTGCCTGTATGCCAGAGGATGCACGCTGGGCGTATTCCAGCTTATCAAGGCATTTCCATTTGCTTGTCACCATGTTACCTCTGCCGAGCCCTCCGAAAGGGTATTTAACCTGACACGGACCGACTTCTCTCTCATCAGGGTAGAACATCGTTATCTCAGAAGACTGTAAAAACGACCAATGTCAGTTTAGTGCCTCGTCACCCTGTGTCCTGAGAGAACTGCTTTACAGCGCATCTAATCTCTCTCACCAATGCCCCTCAGCAGGACGGGGTGGCGAAGCAACGTCACCTGAGCTGATTTTCAGAAACGCCTCTTTTAAGAACGGGGCAAGGGGAGCCACCTCTGCCGACAACAAAAAAAGATAACGGTTTCCGAAGGGCTCAACTCTGCGCGGCTTTCCCCCGACCCCACACAACCCCC